TTCCCAGTAGCATCGAAGCTTGCACTCTGATGAATGAGAAGGATCTCGGCCTACTAAAAAAAAAAAAACCATCGCCCTCGGTTTTTTGAGGAAAAAAGATCAAAAATAACATAAACTCTTTGAAAGGGAAAAAATAAATGTGTAGCAAACACAACATTTCAACAATGTGTTCTCCTTCTCACTTTCACTCCTCCCTCTCCTCATTCGCCTGTGGCGGTGCCTGGATAATCTGGCCGGCATGCTGTGGCTGCACTACCATTTGCATCATCCCGCCGCTGGGCACACCCTCAACACTGCCCATCATCGCTGGGATCTTCATCGCCGGAACTGACTGCATCGGCGAGCCCTTATAATTTCGCATCTCCTGCAACAGAATTCTGTGAAGTGCAGAACATTTCCAGGTAACTTCCACCATATTCCACTCACTGCGCGTAAGAAACATGGTGTGCTATGAACGCGCCGAGGGCCCATGACCAAAGTTGATGAGATGCTCCTCATTGCAGAGCGCTACGAATATGAATGAGCGGTGGATTGGTATCACCACAAGCAGTGCATGAGCTGCTGATAGCCAGCTGACTCCGCGGAACAGAAGGCTTATTACCAAAACGAATCAAACAGTGATTGAAAAGGTTGTTTTACTAATAACCAATCACTGTTTGGTTAGAATCTGCAAAAAACGCCACTGTATTTTGACCAGCTGTTGTTTCATCGATCGCGTTCCTTCTCGCCGTTGATGCGGCTGGCAAATTCCTCATCCTTCTCCATTTTGAGTTCCTTTTATCCAACTAGTTGCAAGCACAAAGGCGCTCAAGTCTACACGAATCCATTGCATAAAAACATTACTCACTAACAAAAAAAAAACCCTTTTATTTGGAGCTGACAATGTCAGAAGACTGAAAAACTGTCAGCTTGCTCCCAAACAAGTCTTGGCAGAATTATCGATAGGTCGCCAGTGAGTGGTAAGAAGCTGCATTCCTCTCTTAATGGAATACTAAGACGTGACAAAATCCAACAAAAAACTGCCTTTCAATAAGGAACCACCTAGTTGTAAGTGT